GTAAACCCTGTTTTATTCCTACATGAAGGGACAATTGGCATTACAGGCATTGCTTACGTTTTGGATTTGTCACAATGTTTGCTGGGTGATTTCGTTAAAACATGTGGTAGCAGCCATTCTTTTGTGTAACGGGTTAACTGCGGAGTTAACCAAACCCCAGTTATGGTCGCTCTCAGTCTGCTGGCCTTAGATTGTTGTCCTGTGAGCTGGAAAATCTTTGTGTAGGGTGAGGCTGGGAGTGTGCTTGTGGCCTTTCCTCTCTCCCCTCCTTCCCTTTCCCTTAACCCAGGCAAACCTTACTCCCCCTGCCTGTAAACAGTGTGACACAACCCAGTTTTGTTTTGTTTAATATATGTTTATTAATTTTTCAAACAATTATAATAATTTATAACATATAACACCGCTAATAAACATTCAAACAAAAATACAAAACACAACAAAAAACTCCCAAAAACTTTATTTGCATATACCCCTTATTTTATACATGATATCCATAACTTTGTCCATAGTAAGGGCTATTCTTCCCAGTTACACTAGTTAAAAAATATTGTGAATTGCAATGAATAATAACTAAAATCACAATGTATAATCATAACCCTTCTTGTGATGATATTTACATCCTATAATAGTGAATGGCCTGGAATTGCCTTACATGACTAATCAGTGCATACATAAATTACCCAGTAGAGTCTGCTAAATTATGTCATGGCACTTTGACATTGAAACTGTGTTATGCCTCCGAATCCGAAACATAAAGATTCGTTTTCTTTGCCGAAACAAATTAAGCCGTTTTTCATTTTCATTTGTTTAGTTTGGAAACAAATTTTTTGTTGTGCACATGTCTAGTAAACATTCTCACTTTACCTACATTGTGTACAACTGTATCAGATCTTGTATGTGTACCTTACTTGTATTTTTTCTAAGTGGAAAAAATAAAAACATTTTAAAAGGGCTGAATGAGAAGTGCAATTGCAGCTGTGAATTTGCTATATTATCACTACCAAGATCCAGACTTAGGAAAGACACAGATGAGAGACAGAGGAAAGTGAGAGTCAGGTAATTTATGGTTTCAGAAACTGCTTTGATCTATGTATTACTTCTATATTTGCATAAGCAAAAGCTCCAATAGGGCGAAAGGAGAAAGTTAGAGCAGAGGAGGAATTTATTAAATTTGTCCAATCTGTCAAGTATTAACCCCTCACTGACAGAATCCATCTCTGAATAATATTTTCCCTGAACGTAGAAGATTACACACAATTCTGAAGCTCGATGTTGATTTAGATATGAGCTGAAACCTATAAATATTCATAGAAGAGATCAGCATGGTACTAGGCAATGCAAAATGAACAAGAACAGTGTTGTTTGGCTATACATAAAAAGGTCCTACAGCTTATACCAGGGAGGGGGGCATATTAAACAGTAAAGTCAGAATAATGACAACGTTGACATTAACTATAAATCTAATTTCAAAATATGTTGTTACAACAGCAGGGTCACATTTGTACTGTGTTTAATTGATTTTACTACCTCAAATCAGACAGTAGTATTTGATCATCCAGAAACGATGTTGATACACACAAATATCAATGCAATAATAAATACTTGAAAGATAAGTACACCTATATGCAAAAAACGTACATATAAAATGATTACCCCCACCCTGGGTCATTAGGATTAATAATACCTGCCAGACATAAGCAGAGAGATGTATGTAGGGACAGCCATTATTCTTTATGTTCAGGCCATTGCATTCGTGGGATTGTAAAAGTTTCTGAGAGGGCAGGCTGGTTGTAATATACACTACACTGACCCCATGCAGGCTGGGTGGTGTAAAGTGTATTTGATTATATTTACTTATTTTCTGCAGAGTGTGGGAAGAAGATAATCTGTTTTGGTTTTTTTAGTGTAAGGGTGCGCTCATCTTGTGGGGTAACCTTTTTTTCCCATAGTTCTCTCTAGGGTCACAGGAAGACATATACTAATGTCCTCCTGTGACCCAAAAATCTGTATACCGTATTTGCCGCCGTATAAGGCGACTGGGCGTATAAGGCGACCCCCTACTTTTTATGTTAAAATATAGGTTTTGGGCTATACTCGTCGTATAAGACGAGTATAGCCCAAAAATATTGTTTGGATACACACACTAACCTCCATGGTGGTATTCCTGAGTGTGGCTCGGGGTTAATTTTCAGTACCATAAGCGGTAACCCCGAGCCACACTCGGGATTACAGTCTCTTACCTTGTCCGCTATCCCCGCTGTGTCCTCCGTCTTCAGGGTTCCATCAGTATACTGCGCTGAGCCAATCACGGCAGGCTTTGTATTCATGAATACAGGCTTTGTATTCATGAATACAGGCTTTTTATTCATAAATACAGGGACTTTTGTATTCATGAATACAAAGCCTGCCGTGATTGGCTCAGCGCAGTATACTGACGGAACCCGGAAGATTTGTACTATGTACAAATACGCCATACCCGGCGTATAAGACGACCCCCGATTTTCGGGGGATGTTTTTAAGTTTAAAAACCCGCCTTATACGCCGGCAAATACGGTATATTAGGCTATTGATTTTACTTCCTCAAATCAGACAGTAGTATTATGCTGAGAGCACCACAGTCGGAACAGTTCCTGACAATACTGTCGAGATCCACCCCGCTGGCTGATTGACAGCGGGCTCTACCTATCTAGAGGCAGAAGCAGCTGTGCCCGCCCCCTCCCCTGTCCGTCCCTCCAGTCATTGCTGGAGGATCGGAGAGGGGAGGGGGGAAATCCCTGTGGGTAGCGGTGACTGGCAGTCACCTCTGGGGGGGGAGATGATCAGTACCATCACTGCAGAGTAGGAGGAGACATTCAGCAGGGAACACTGTTACAGCTGGCCGGCTCAGCGGTACGGGTGAGTATAACTTTTATATTTTTCCACCCCCCCACTGCAAGGGTTAACTGGTCATTTTCCTCTAGGTGCAGAAATAAAAAAAGTTATATTCACCCAAACCTCCTTAGCCAGCCAGCTGTCATGGCACTCCATCCTGGAGTTCTTCTTTAAAGGCAAATCCACTTGTTAAAAATTTATGTAACAGAAAAAATGGCTACAGCAGACTAAAGGTCACTTAGAGTTAAAAAAAATACCTTAAAGGTTCAGTCAGCAGCTAGGTATAATTTTCTAAAACTGGTAAACAATTTTCAAACATGGCTTGTGTTTCTGGGAGGTGTACACACTCAAAAATATCCTGCTCCTGCATTTGGCTCAATGTTTTTTTGTTAGTTTTCTGCTTATTATAGCACTAAGACTAGCCATAGCACTAAGACCTCTCAGACTGGGCTAGTGTCATTAGCGGTGTGCATCAGGGTTCTATGCTGGGAGCCATGCTATTCAGCCTGTTTATTAACGACATCGGGGACGGAGTACACAGCGATATCTCAGTGTTTGCTGACGATTCCAAAATTGGGAGGGTTATAGAAACAGACCAAGATAGTATAACATTACAAGAGGACCTGGATAGAATAGGGGAGTGGGCAACTATGTGGCAGATGAGGTTCAATGTCGATAAATGCAAAGTTATGCACTTTGGGTTAAAAAATAAGCAAATGGGTTATGCAAAGATTTGGGGGTCATTGTAGACCATAAACTGAATAATAGATTACAGTGCCAGGTTGCTGTAAGCAAAGCACGCAAAATCCTGTCCTGCATCAAGAAGGGAATGTTTTGCAAGGATAAGTCTATAATTTTGCCACTTTACACATCACTGGTTTGGCCTCACCTGGAGTATGCAGTGCAGTTTGGGGCACCGGTGCACAGAAGGGATGTCATTGAGCTGGAGAAAGTCCAGCGGAGGGCAACCAAACTCATCAAAGGGATGGAGGACCAGAGCTATGAGACACGGTTACTAAATTTAAATATGTTCACGTTGGAAGTAAGGAGATTAAGGGGGATATGATTTTTATGTACAAGATGTTCTATAGTCATAGCAACATTAGCAACAAACTCTTTAAGATTAATTCCATAACAAAGACTAGAGGCCACCACCTAAAACTGGTAGAAAAAAAATTCAAACACAAGGGGCAAAGGGGGTTCTTCTCAGTTCGAGCGATTAGGGTCTGGAACTCGTTGCCACAAGCAGTGATTTCAGCAAATAGTCTGGAATCATTCAAGAAGCTTTTGGACGATTTCCTGAGAGACCGTAATATACGGGGGTACAGGTACTCTTAAAAATGAGATGACTCAGGGACCTATACACACACACACACACACACACACACACACACACACAATAGTTTGGACTTGATAGACATTAGCCTTTATTCAACCTCAAATACTATGTAACTATGTAACATATGACTAAAGCAGGGAGACAATTCCACTTAGCACTCATGAGGTAGAACCAGGCTGTAGGAAGTAGGAAGTAAGCAGAATCTGTGTGAGTTTTTAATACAAATGCAGCAGGAAGGACTCTGCATTAAAGTTTGCTAAAATCCTTGCAATGTAGGAAACTGACCAGCAGTATTGGAATTAAACTTTAAGGGCTTGTTCAAACCAATTGCGTTGCGTTCCAGAGCGGAAGCTGCTGGAATGCACCGCAATCACTCACAAAACTTCCCCCTTTGTTTTGGGGCGGGAGGGGGCGTGGTGATGCATCAAAGTCAATGGCACCGCAGCCACGCCTCCCGCCTGCAGTGCAATCGGACATATGGCAAAGCAATGCCTGCGTTCCGTTTCACTGCAAACGCAAAAAATAGAGCATGCAGCATTTTTTGCGTTTGCAGTGGAACGAAACAAGCCCTAACTCAAGTGTTGTCTGCAAAGAGCATCAGGACCTAGCAATGCTGTCAGGCAGGTAAGACTGGCTTACACATTTGGCTAAACTTGAACTACTGAATAAATTATTCGGCAGGTAAAAAAGTTAACATGCATGTATTTTAAATGAGCATTTAGTTGCTTGCCTGGAGTTCAACTTTAATAATTTTTTGACAATTCTTTAGTAGATGTGTTCCATGGGATAGAAAGTTTCATTGTTCCATTTTTTTCAACTATAATACATGATTATTATAACTTAATACACATACATGATGCTTACCAAATCACCACCTCCTAACCATCAAGAAAGGAGAAGCCCCTAAGAAGATACTTTAATAAAGTCTTTCTCAACCTTTTTCTAATTATATAAAGTTACCCCCAGCCCCAGGACTGCAACAAAGTCTTATACTTAGCTGTCCACACTCTTTCCAGTCCCACACTGATTGGCCGATGGGGGGCACTGCTGCAAACTCTCCCAACCAGTCGGGTAAGGTAAGTATTTACTTTAAAGTGTATGGCACAGCAAAATTAAAAAAGACATATTAAGTACAGCTCCTAACTCTGTTTGAGCTGCCAACACAGTGCACTTACATTCGACCAAGCCCTGTTTGCTGGAATTAAGAACTTTACCTATCCCCTTCCCCATCTCTGTCCTACTCTCATGCAAACATTGATTTCTTTACCAGTAAAACAGTGCTATTGAATGACTCCCAAGAGCCTTCCCACGCACTGTTTGTAGCTCTTGGGAGATGTAGTTCTTGAGGGCAGGCCTATGTCAATAGGAACTGAGCTTCCAATAGTTGCTCCGGCAAGAATTTTACAAGCCTGGTGATGATGTCACAGGGAGTATTCAAAGCTGTCTCCCCACAGGTTTTTACAAGTTAAAAGAAAAAAAAATCTGAAATTTGCTCTAAAGGTGGAGAGGAAGGTTTGGTGTAAACGTGGATAATGACTGGGCACAGACTTTAAAACAATCCTTTCCATTCAAAAAGTTGACTAAAATTAAAAGAAAAAAAAATTGAACAGGATAACTACTGGTACTTAAGCAGGGTGAATGGGCTCAGTAACCAATATTTAGGTAGAGAGGCATGGTTTTAGCCCTTTACTTTTGGAACCAAATACATAAATGCATGTTGGAGTGTCCTGGGTTTTGTTTGGTCTTGGGACAAAGTGAATAGCCCATACAGCAGCCCTTTGGTTCGACTGACCCGGCGGCCGAAGAGAGTCGAAGGATCAGCCGAAGCTACGGCTGGATCCTTCAGGTCCTTCATGAATAACCCCCTTCATTTTTTTTCATTATTTTAAAGAATACTAGTGTAAGCACCTGAATTTGACTTATCAGCCTCCTGCAATACTTTTTCAACAGGACTGAGAGAGGGAAGGCCAGGAAAAGAAACCAACCAAGCTTTACTGCTCATATGGTGACACACAGGAGGGCAGCACAGAGTTATCCAAGATTCTTGACCAGTTTGCGCTGTTGTTACAGTAAAGGCATGAGTTGATCTGGCTGCGCTGTCTGACAGGCAAACCAAAATTTAAATCTGGCTGCTTCAAATTTACAATCTTTTTGACAGTTAAATCAATTCCCATATACTGTATGTTCTTGCACTTTTCTCTGTTTTATGCCATTCTGTGCCTGGCTGCTGCCACTGTCACCTATGTAATCTGTACTACCTGTAAAACACACTGACAAATTTAAATGTGATTACAGACAAATGTATATGCTTTGTCATGTGACAAATGAAAATGCATTGTTCCTGTGGCAATGCGGACTACCTTTACAAAGGAGGAGAGAATATTACAGAAGATTAAACGTTTCACAGTTATCTGGGATCCTTAAAGGCAGCTCAATACTATGTTCATATCTTTCATGAAGCTATATCTTATTAACAGCCAGATCACTGAAGGAGGCTATAACAGAAATATGCATTTAGCAGGTAAATGTGTTACATGTATAACTCCTTACTCTTTTTTGAACAAACCTACATTAAATCACAACTTGCAGTCAGTGGGAGCACTGCCAGTTCACACATATGGTATTTATTATCCACAGTGGCTTAAGAGGCATTCTCTTCCTGCCACTCACCTATCTACCCGCTTGATAGAGGGTATGGTGAAGAGGTTTTTACAGCTGCAAAGAATTAAGGCAAACGGGGAGAAAGAGACAAAAAGACAACATTGAGCTAGAGATGGAGAGGAGGCCACATTGTGGAAGTAATGCAGAAAATATGTGTAAGAAAAAGAAGACTAGATTTGTGTTTGTTTACTCCTGCCCACACACAGGCTCACAGCAAGAAACTGAAGGATTGAGGGTCCACATACTATTCATCTTATAAGTTACTGAGCCACATGTTTTACCAGGGAAGTAAAAATCATCAACTACTAGCTGCATTCATACACAATGGCTGACCCAAAACTACTAGCATAGTTTAATCTAATCCCTAACACTAGGGTTGCACAGATACCAAGTACAGTACTCAGTACAAGTACGAGTACATGTACCGATACTTTTGAGCTCCAAGACTAGACTAGAGAAAAATTCACAAGTTAGGAGGCAGCTGTCATTTATAAGGAGCACACAGAGCTCCTGGGATTTGTACATCTCTGTTTTAATGTATGATTTTGTTTTTATAAATATAAATAAAGGGATGCACAGACACCAGTTTTGTGAGTACGAGTACTGGTACTTGCCGAGTACTTACAAGTACGAGTACTGATACATTTTTGTTTATTGTCATGTGACAGTTTCTCTAAAACAATACAGACTAATGATTTCAGGACAGTGGTGGAGCGCCAGAGCCTGGTCCCAGCTGCAACCGCTGAAACCCTGATAGTTCTCATGAAAATGCCAAGTATCGGCATTGGTACTCGAAAAGTATCTGTGCATCCCTACCTAACACTAATGTTTTCACATATAAATCAGGTACAAAGGAAATACACAAACATAACTAAAATGTTAAACACAAGCTACAGCTTAGAATAGGAAGATCAATTATGCTCTAATTGAAGGTAAAATTGTTATCATAATAGCAGTCTAACTGTATAGACATCTCTTTTTGCTTGGATCAGTCAACCATCGCATATCTATTCACATTTAGACACATCAACTCAGAAACAAACACAGAATTGCGGCAGAAACATTTTAAACATAATACTGGTAACCATGTCTGCTGACTCTGCTACAGCCACCAAGTGTGCTACCTTACAGTTGGACGCCCCACCACACCCGAAGAGCTCTCTGAATTCCCTCCTGAAGGCCCAGGAACCACATATCAGTTCCCACTGCATTCAGATGAAGCCCATCCCTGCTCAAATATTGCCAGGTATGCAGCTCCAACTGCCGATCATGGATGACCAGACCCCAATTTCTAACAATAAAGCGGCCAACTTCCTTGTTCACCTTTTTACGGGCTTTGTTCAAACGTTCCACTGACCTAGCCAAATGCCAGGACGTGGGAGCCACAATCAACAGTAGTGGTGGTATCAAACTTTATTTTAGCTATATGATTTGATAGCAATCGAGTCAATAAACGGTTTTTGACTTGAAATTCTATTGGAGTACGGGTGACTTTATATCGCGGATTAGCTCCTGCATGGAGCGTAGGCCCAGATTGTTCCCACTGACATGCAGTATCAAGACATCTGGAACACTATCCAACCGCACAAATTTATGCACTTCAGGGACTACCCTGCTCCATTGCATACCCGGCAGACCAATCCAGTGCATGTTAGCAGAGCTTCTTGGAATGCCCAGTTGTTTCTCATCAGGACGAACATCCGCCCATCTGGCCCCCCCAAAACACATATGAATGTCCCAGGATCCCGACGAGGCAAGGACCACCAACTGTAAATGATAACAACAAACGGAATGCAAGAAAACATAATAGAATCCCAAACACAAATTAGGTTTCACGAAGTGAGGACAGACATACAGACGATACTGGTTAGACTCCCACCTTCCTAAGCGTTGGAGGGCAGCCCCACCTAAACCCCACCTTGCAGCCTCTGTAGCAGCCCCAATACGGAAGGAGTGGGAAGAGAAACGTTTAGTGATAACAGCCCAAGCAAGACAGGATCGAAAGACAGAAGTAACTTGGAAACGAGATAAAGCAGACCTGTTAACGTGCAATAAGAAAGACCCTTCCAATGCCGGGCGAACCACTAAAAATTATTCAACAGCTTGAATGGGACACAACGATGAACCGAACACAAGCTGTAGCTCCACCTATACACTCCTCCCCCTCTGATCAATCTTGGAGCGACGAATCAGAACCAGAACAATATCAGCCAACAGGGCAACATCAGGAAACAAGAGATTCCCATGAGCATGCGTGGAGGTACTAACCAATTCCCCAATCCAAAAAGCCCCCAAAAAGGTCAACATAAAAGCCACTCGAAAAAGTAAAACCTCAAAATTTGAAAAACAACACCAGGGGAGATGACCCAAGATTATAGCCAAAATATCAAAAGTCACTGGCCTGCGTAAATCAGGACGATGCTGGCCCCTACGAAAACCTTTTACCACTTGACGAACCACAAAATCCTTGGTAAAAAACCCAACAGCCTCCCCAATCGCATCCATATAGCAAAAAAAGCGCTGAACAATGTTCCAGCGTCTTCTCACCTATCACACTCACCAATGTTGCAAATGCCTGTAACCAATTTGAAAAAGTGTGGGCAATAAGGCGGTAACGGCGCTTCTCTTCATCATCTTTTTTACTCTCCTCCGGTTCGACTCTGTGAAGGATAAACTTTTCCAACGGAAGGAAGGTATACATCTCCACTTACTCACCTTTCCAAATCTTCTCCCGCACTTCTGTCTTCAAATGGGATCCCAAAGGGCCCTCAAAACACACATAAACCTCGCACCGCGCAGCCATCCCCACCTTTTCTAGCAGCCTTGGAACCGGCCTGCAAAGTTGTATCCACTGGCACCTGTGTACTCACATCAGCCCCCTGCGCTCCTGCCAGTGCCACCCCACCAGAACCATGACCCTCTAAATCCGAAACCACACACTGAAACTGCAGAATGAGCGGCGACCATATTGGTGCCGGCGCATTCTGCTCATGCGCGCCACCATCTTGGGGTGTATCTTGGTATACACCAAGATAGCAGCGCCCACATGTTTAAGTGCCGCCAGCATGCGCAGAACACATTGGCCGCCGCTCATTCTGAAAACTAATTTATGTAAGCCGGAATATATTTTTCGTATATTCAGGCATATAATAAATTAGTTATTTCGGATTTGGACGAAGCGCTGACTCAACTGAATTTCGTTGATTTGCAGGTTCATCTGAATCTGAATGCACATGTCTATAGGAAAGGAGCCAGAGAAATGACTAAGATATTGTACTTTAGCAGAAGGTTATTGGTAAAGTGTGTTGAGCCAAGAAAGGAAGTTAGCCTGGCACCCCCATTTTTGTACAGATTAAATAATCATAGGATAAACCATCAAAGGTTTTATGTATATCTAGCCCTATTAGCATACCCTGGATACCTTGCGGGTGTTATCTGAAGGCTGTCTGTGCGGGACTAAGCCCACCTGATGTCTGGTTGCAAGGATTTTGGAAAGCATTTTTACATCAATATCAAGTAGCAAAATAGGTCTGTAATTATGGGGGTCTAGAAAGTCCCTTCCTGGCTTAGGTAGCATGCTAATGTTGATTTTTGTTGTTGGTGTCTCTCCAGTTCAAAATGTGGCTTAATAAAAGTGCTTAAACATTGTGCATGTACTCACTATATCTGTCTGGTGTTACTTTTGTTCAAATCGCAGCCTGGTAAAAGTGCCTAAATACAGTACTATGCATGAAGTTACTACAATATTTTGCTGACTTTTCCATGAATTAAATATAGTCTGGAACTGATTTTTGGATGAAAAGATGGATGGTGTCTCTCCTATTTAAAATGGGGCCTAGTGAAAGTGCTTAAATACTGTACATGGAGTAAATACAATATTTTGCTGACTTTTTTTTCATGAAATAAATCACTCTGATGTTGATTATTTTAATTGAAATCTATCCTGGTCTCTACTCTTTTGCTGTCTTTTTCTTGATCATAAATCTAATTTTTGCCTTCATGGGAACATGTGGCCTAGAAAAGCTGCGATGGCTTTTAAATAAAAAATAAAATAATAACACTGTAATATTGTTTTTTTAAAAAATTATAAGCTGCCTGGGATGTCTTAAATAATGTTTATGGAGTCAGAACAATATTTTGCTGGGTTTCTGTGAAGCAACTACACTCTTTTTTTATGCTGGCTGACGTGTCTCCTTTTGAAAATAGTTTCTTTAATTTCTCTGTGAAATAAACACTATTTTGTATCTTGATTATAAACCTATAAATCTGTTGCCTCCCAGGGAAACACTGTAATTTTGATTTCTTGATTACAACCTGCGTGGTGTGTCTTCTTTTCAAAATGTGATGTCCCATTGCCCTTAGATTAGCGAGCTTGGGAGTGATGACTACTTTACGACACAACAAAGGGAACATGGGGAACAAAAGTAGCCACCCTCCAGAAGTAAAAACAGTGTCAGCACAAATTCAGAAATGATTTAAGGATCTACAGCTGAGTGATACAAAAACAAGCTACATTTTTATAACAGTTAAGGTACTTAAATGCTTTTTTTATGATTCAACTCCTGAGTTTAGTGTCACTTTAACCTCTTGCCGTCCGCCCGTAGTAAAAAAACGGACGGACGGCACTGCAGCATCTGCGGGTTGCCGTCTCCAGACGGCAATTTTTTTCTGCTCGCGCGCGCCCCCTAGATCCCAAGCATGTAATTGAAAGAATTGGTGTCTTTTCCATGTCACCCTCAAAGTCGCATAAAAAGAAAGGGCCTCTCCCTGCTGTACAGTATTCTTTTCATTGTTTTTTGGCAGTGGTGCATGTCCTCCATCAGAGTGTCCAGCTCCTCATGCCCTTTGTTTGACAATTTCTTTTCTTTTAGCCATAAAAATGGCCAGAATTGATCTTTAAACCCCCCCACCAATCCTTCATAACAACAATATGTTCAATGAACAGCCCATGAAACAAACCGAGGCCATTTCGCTTATCTGTAGATAGAAAGAGTAATTTTGGCAAGATTTTTCCTACATAGTTACGGGGGTGTCAAAAAGGTACTGGGCGTTTTTTTACCTTAATGCAGAGAATGTATTAAGATAAAAAACGCCCAGCCTTAAAGGAGAACTATGAGGTGAGTGCTTTTCACTCACCTCATAGTTCTAGCTGACCTGTGACAATGAGACTGTCACATGTCGGCTCAGAAGATCGGGAAGTGAGCGAACACATACCGCTATTCGTTCACTTCTTGATCCTGTCACGGCTCTCTGCTGTGACAGCGGAGGGGCTGGATTCCTCCCTCCCCGCTCCGGTCCACCAGCGCTGACTGGGGGAACGGACGGGGGAGGGGGCGGGTACAGCTGGCTCTGCATCTCTACATCGATGTCGGGATCCGCTCCGGCTGTGGCGTCTCAGTATACCGTGAGCCAGTATGTAGCTCGCGGTATACTGAGCTTAGGGTGACGGGAGGACGCTAGTTTGTGTCCTCCCGTTACCCTAAGGAGAACTATGGGAAAAGCCCTGACCCCATAGTTCTCCTTTAAGTAATACTTTAATTTAGTAAAGCATTTCCTTTTTTGTATTTGATCATTATTTAAGTATTGCCATTTCCTACTGTTTGTTTGTTTGTTTCTATTAAGAATAATGTGGCTGTATTTTGACAGTATAGAACAGGTCCAGGATAGCTTTAAAGAGCAATTTAAAGCCCATTGTACTTTTCTTAATCAGCAGGCCACGCCACTCCTATCCACCCAACAGAGGGGGTTGAGCATAAATAACATATGAAACATTTAGGAATTGCACCCATTTTCATACACAGTCCCCTTATTTCAAGGGCTCAAATGTAATTGGACAAATTAACACAATCATAAATAATATGTTAAGTTTTAATAATTTGTTGAGAATCATTTGCAGGCAATGACTGCTTGAAGTCTGGAATGCATAGACATCACCAAACGCTGGGTTTCCTCATTTGTGATGCTTTACCAGGCCTTTACTGCAGCTGTCTTCAGTTGTTGTTTGTTCATGGGTCTTTCTGTCTTAAGTTTTGTCTTTAGCAAGTGCAATTCATGCTTGATCGGATTGAGATCAGGTGATTGACTCGGCCATTTCAGAATATTACACTTGTTTGCCAACTGGGTTGCTTTTGCAGTATGCTTTGGGTAATTGTCCATCTGTAAAGTGAAGCACCGTACAATCAACTTTGCTGAATTTGGCTGAATCTGAGCAGACAATATATCCCTTTACACCCAGAACTCATGCGTCTGCTTCTGTCTTCTGTCACATCATCAATAAACACTAGTGACCCAGAGCAGTTGGAAGCCATGCACAGGGCCGGCCTTTGGGGTGTTCGAGCTGTGCGGCCACACAGGGCGCCATGGCAACAAGGGCACCAGGTGGCCGACACAGCTCGTCCTTGGGGCGGCTACAGCCTGCGGCTTCTCTCCTCCTCACCGCTCGGCCATCCAACATGACCTGCGCTCCCTCCTCTGCCCCCCCCCCCCCCCAACTTCACGGCTGTCCTCACCTCCCCGCTGCCT